GCAAATGACCCTGAGATATGAGTCTGACAAATGACCCTGAGATATGAGGATCATGAACACAAGTACCTGGAACATACCTGTAGAGGGTTCTACGAGTTGTTCTACTCCCCGAGCCCGGCCTAAGGCCAGGCTCGACTTGAGATAAACTTGGTGCAACAAGTAATCCTATTAATAAACCAAAAAAATAACAAACTTACTGACTCGCCATATTAAAAAAAAAAAGCTAGTCATTAAAGCAACCACATCCCGGAGATTACCACTTAGAGCAAGTGACCAGTGCCCTTATGTAGCTCAAGCCAGACCACCCCCTTCTCTGGCCTCCCACTTGTACACTTATATCCACTTATTTCCACTTCACATTTCTATTTCTATTCTTAGCCGACTGAATAATCCAGCTGGCACTAAGAACAGGGCAAAAGAGACGAGAAAATATTAAAAAAAACACACACATTAGATAACACACACTAAATATCAACTTACATTTGAGATATCTTACATTAGAAAGACCTTTTCTTGCCAAACACTGCGATAACTTGCCCCAGAGAACGCTAGATAAAGGATATATTAACGAGGGGAAAACCTGCACAAGGAAGGTGGTGTTGGCTCAATGTAAACACAGACCCTGGTTGTGTTTACTCTCAACCGGACCCCCAGGGAAGGTGGACTGGGGTCCTCCACAGGGTACTGGAGCACAGGGACCTATAGGGTCCTCCACAGGGTACTGGAGCACAGGGACCTATAGGGTCCTCCACAGGGTACTGGATCACAGGGACCTATAGGGTCCTCCACAGGGTACTGGAGCACAGAGGTCTATAGGGTCCTCCACAGGGTACTGGAGCACAGGGGTCTATAGGGTCCTCCACAGGGTACTGGAGCACAGGGGTCTATAGGGTCCTCCACAGGGTACTGGAGCACAGGGGCCTATAGGGTCCTCCACAGGGTACTGGAGCACAGGGGTCTATAGGGTCCTCCACAGGGTACTGGAGCACAGGGGTCTATAGGGTGCTTCACAGGGTACTGGGGCACAGGGGTCTATAGGGTCCTCCACAGGGTACTGGAACACAGGGGTCTATAGCATCCTCCACAGGGTACTGGAGCACAGGGGCCTATAGGGTCCTCCACAGGGTACTGGAGCATGGGGTTCTGGGAGTTCTTCTACTCCCCAAGCCCGGCCCGAGGCCAGGCTCGACTTGTGAGAGTTTGGTCCACCAGGCTGTTGCTTGGAGCGTGATCCTATGAGTTGATCAAGCTCATCTTTCTTGCCCTTGCTAGAACCTAAACCCACTCAGAAATCCCCAATATAGCAGTCAACTCATTCAGGAACTTCCCCATTGATTTGTAGGTCTTTATTTTCCCTCTAGTCATAGGAGTACGCTTTTGTCTTAGTTGTGGAGAGCTTGAAGCCAAGTTTAGTACATTCCAAGACGTTGAATGGACTGCCTCGTGTTCACAAGGGCGTTGAACTGTGTATCAGAACATCATTGCCACATCTCGTTTGTTGTACTCCTTCCGGAAACTGGATAATTAGTAATAACAGTCATTAAGATACTGAACAGTGTGAAGTATAAGACTCCTTTCTAAGGGGGGGAAGGCAGGAGGAAGAGGGAGGAAAGGGGATGACCAGACCACACACTAGAAGGTGAAGGGACGACGACGTTTCGGTCCGTTCTGGACCATTCTCAAGTCGATTCTCAAGTCGACAATCGACTTGAGAATGGTCCAGGACGGACCGAAACGTCGTCGTCCCTTCTAGTGTGGTCTGGTCAACATACTTTAGCCACATTATTGTGACTCATCGCCTGCATGAGGAAAGGGGATGCCCCAGCTTCATATGTCATGCCTTGGTAAACACAAACTTGCAGATATTACATCACAAATCTTAGCAAACACACTCAGCCAGCCCCCCCCCCCCTCGCCCTGCCAGCCACACGAGCCTGAGTCAACAAACCTGAGGTCAGAGGTCGGCGTATGAGAGGCTTGGGGGTAGGGGGGGCGTCTATACTTTATGAATGGACCCTCCCCCTCCCCTGGCCACTCTTCCTCATGAATGAGTCGATGGTTTCCCGTCAGGTTTACGACCTGGTGCACCAAGAAGTACACTCACCCCCTCGGTCTGACGCCAGAGAAATCCCCCCCCCCCCTCCACACGCGGTTTACAATCCGGGTCTGGCAGGTATTTCTTATTAATTACAATGATAATCAACAGTTTACATGCATCACTTTCTGAGTCCATTCGAATCCCCCGAGACAATGTTAACAAGAATTAACCAAACTAAACTCTTAGCGTCAGGCCAAATAAAACTGTAAAAATTAACTTTTGGTGAGTTAATGTTTCAACTTTCTTCTCAGGTGAAGAAACATGTAAGGAAAATGGAAGAAAATTCGTCCTAGACTCTTAGATCTCACCCTCTCGGTCACTTTCAATAATGTCTACAGGAAAGACTGCTACTGAAAAAATAATGGAAAAAGAATAGGACATACCATGAAAAAGATAAGAGGGAGTGGAGGGAGTTATCAAGGTGGAAAGCGCCAAGCCATTACGAATATATAGCACTCGGAAGGAGGTCATCTCTGGTCGCCACCCTCGGCCCCGTACCCTGCAGCATCCGTCATCTCTGGTCGCCACCCTCGGCCCCGTACCCTGCAGCATCCGTCATCTCTGGTCGCCACCCTCGGCCCCGTACCCTGCAGCATCCGTCATCTCTGGTCGCCACCCTCGGCCCGTACCCTGCAGCATCCGTCATCTCTGGTCGCCACCCTCGGCCCCGTACCCTGCAGCATCCGTCATCTCTGGTCGCCACCCTCGGCCCCGTACCCTGCAGCATCCGTCATCTCTGGTCGCCACCCTCGGCCCGTACCCTGCAGCATCCGTCATCTCTGGTCGCCACCCTCGGCCCCGTACCCTGCAGCATCCGTCATCTCTGGTCGCCACCCTCGGCCCCGTACCCTGCAGCATCCGTCATCTCTGGTCGCCACCCTCGGCCCGTACCCTGCAGCATCCGTCATCTCTGGTCGACACCCTCGGCCCCGTACCCTGCAGCATCCGTCATCTCTGGTCGACACCCTCGGCCCCGTACCCTGCAGCATCCGTCATCTCTGATCGCCACCCTCGGCCCCGTACCCTGCAGCATCCGTCATCTCCGGTCGCCACCCTCGGCCCGTACCCTGCAGCATCCGTCATCTCTGGTCGCCACCCTCGGCCCCGTACCCTGCAGCATCCGTCATCTCTGGTCGCCACCCTCGGCCCCGTACCCTGCAGCATCCGTCATGTCATGGTTCATCATGCGCTTCTCGCATATCATTCCCACGCTTGCTCACAACACACACACACGCCGCCCCCACCATGCTTCTACCCATTAATAACACCCAGCATGAACTAACGCCACTTACTTCCCCGCCTCTCAGGCCTATAGTTATTTCCCCTCTCCGTTTACCCTTTACCCTTCATCCCCACAACTTTTCCCCCCACAAGATTCTCTCTACCCCCCACAAACTCCCCCTCCCTCCCCCCACACGCCAACCCAAAAGTAAAGGAAATCGTTGTAGAATAGTTTTTGTTTAAACCTTGTTTTCTTTATTTGTACTGTATCTTCTTCCTCGTCCATTTCATCAATTCCCCACAGAATTTTGTACGTAGTGAACATATCTCCCCATTTTCTTATCAACCAGCTTTGGCATATTTAGCCCTGTTATTCTTCATAACTTTAAGGCTAAGTTTTTGTTCCGGAGTACAGCTCAAGTTTACTGGTTGGGATCCTCGAGGAATATTGTATATACCGAGTGTTACAAGGGGGCTTGTGTCCCCCCCCCTATCATGGGGCTACCCCCTATGGTGTCACCCCTATCATGGGGCTACCCCCTATGGTGTCCCCCCTATCATGGGGCTACCCCCTATGGTGTCACCCCTATGGTGTCCCCCTATCATGGGGCTACCCCCTATGGTGTCCCCCTATCATGGGGCTACCCCCTATGGTGTCCCCCTATCATGGGGCTACCCCCTATGGTGTCCCCCTATCATGGGGCTACCCCCTATGGTGTCCCCCTATCATGGGGCTACCCCCTATGGTGTCCCCCCTATCATGGGGCTACCCCCTATGGTGTCCCCCCTATCATGGGGCTACCCCCTATGGTGTCCCCCCCTATCATGGGGCTACCCCCTATGGTGTCCCCCTATCATGGGGCTACCCCCTATGGTGTCCTGGGGGACCCTGGGGAGTCCTCCCACACACACATTGCAAATGGCGACCAAAGTCCAATTTGCTAACTTTTAGTTTTCTCTTAATCCCTAAAAGCCGGTATATTCCTCACCGGTATATTGTATTTACTTAATTGTTGACTAAATTTGCATACTTGAGCCGGTCTGTTCTTGACGAGAAGTCTATTTTTCACATGACAAACTGGAGCGTTGGCGGGTTAAATGGGTCGGTGTGGAGGACGTCCTCGCCCCAGCTGCTGCGTGCGTGTGCGTGTGAGTGTGTGTGTGTGTGAGGGGACTTGTGAAGAGGTTAAGGTAATGGTGAGGGGAGGACTACAGTATATCAGTATGACTACATCACACTTAGAATGGTTATTACGGCTGAGTGAAGGAACGGTACCTATAACCACCTAGACCATCGGCAGGGGGGGAACCGAACGCCAACCCTCCAGGACTCAAGATTGGCGCGCTACCGACCAGCCAAGAATGTATGAGCAAGGACTTGGGAAGAACAGACATTGACTTATCATGCCGTGGAAGATAAGAGAGGCGGTGAGGGAAGGGATCACTGAATGCACAACAATGCGTCAGGAAGATTATCCACACTGAACATATGTGTGAGAGAGAGCCGCCTAGGGCAAGGCCCTCCCTTATTAGGCTATCACAACACCTCTGGTTATTTTCACCGCGCATGTTTACATCAGCGCGTACAGAAGACCTTCGTACAATGGGTTCCAGCACTTGAGTTTGGGAGCTCCTCCCCCCACACAACCCCCGACGAGTACCTGTCTGTAGCAGCAGTTACCTGGCTGGTGCGGCGGGCACGTGGAGCTGGGCAGACTACAGGTGCCCACACTAGGGGCACCAGGGGCCACGTCTGGGTTCCTGGGTACCAACCTGAGGGGGGGGGAGAGAATTATTTTAAAAGTTGTCCTTTACTGTAGTTGTACGTGTACAAGCACTATTATATAATAGTTTATGGGAGGAGAGGAAACGGGGACTAGAGAAAATTCTGGCGAGTATGAAGGGTGGAAAGAGGGGAGAGAACAATAAAGATGAGGAAGGAAGGCGAGGAGTAAAATAACAGAGAGGAGGGGTATACCTCAGGAAGATGAACGCAGAGTAGAATAATCTCACTTAGGACACTGCGTAGGAGAAGAGGCAGAGAAGACACCAAATAGCTTGAAAATGGAAAACACAGAGACAACAAGGAAAGAAGTTGAAGAGATGAGACAAAGAGGAGGGAGGGAAGGAGAGAAGCAGAGACGAAAGAGGAAATATACGAAATCAGGAAGAAGACGTAACATAACACACGCAAACCAGAGAAGAGGTGAGACAACACACACACACACACACACACAACACAAGATGACAGCCCCCCCCCCACCAACACCTCACTCATCAGCACCGACACCTTACGAAAGGCGGGACCAAAGAGCCGAAGCTCAACCCCCCCCCCCCTCAAGCACAACTACACCAGTACATCTGCCAAAACCCCATCTCATTACTCAACATTAAACACTTAGGTTAGGCTGTTGCTGATACGGCGTCTATCACAGTACTGAGCAAAACGGCACATAAGAGTTCACAGAGGCCGAATAATCCTGAAGTAATTTAAATCAAAGATGTAAACATTTATTTACACACAAATTATTTATTTGTGTGTAAATAATTCAATAAGTGTAATTACTAGTGTACCATGTAAGCCTGGGGGGCCAGATTCACGAAGCAGTTACGCAAGTACCTACGAACCTGTACATCTTTTCTCAATCTTTGGCGGCTTTGTTTACAATTATTAAACAGTTAATGAGCTCCGAAGCACCAGGAGACTGTTTATAACAATAACAACTGTTGATTGGCAAGTTTTCATGCTTGTAAACTGTTTAATAAATGTAAACAAAGCCGTCAAAGATTGACGAAAGGTGTACACGTTCGTAAGTACTTGCGTAACTGCTTCGTGAATCTAGACCCTGGAAATTTAAGAGAGGTGCAGGTAGTCGTGGGCGACACTGTAGTTGACCGTCAATTGTTCTGGACAGGAATTGGACAGGATGAAGCACGCTGCCAGACCTTTAATTACAGGATGAAGTTAGTAGCTAGTAGGAATATAAGTATTGCAGCATTAATGACAGTATGGTTGGCCGTGAGCGTGTACTCACCTAGTTGTGTTTGCGGGGGTTGAGCTCTGGCTCTTTGGTCCCGCGTGTGGTGGTTGGGTGTTGTTAAGAGAGGAATGTATTGCCGTGACTGGGAGGAGTATAGGGACTTTGACCGTATGTTCAACCATTCCTCTCCAGACGACTCGATGGCTGCGCAACAACCCGACAACCAATTTGGTGGTTCAAGCTTCATTTGACTTTTACACACTATCGTTAACCAACCGCTAAAAAAAAAAAAGTTACATCTCGCTCCTGTGCCAGGTAAGTTCACCACGGGCTGACCATAGCCCGTGCTACTTGGAACTCTTGATTCTGAGTAGCTGAAACAAGGGGGGAGGAGCCGCTTTCTTCACCCCCACTCTCCTTTCCCCTCACCCCCCCCCCTCGTTAATCATCTGGGTCTCCCCAATTTGGTATAAAAATAATTCAGTGCGCAACAGGCTAAAGATGCGTCACTTATGGGGGGACTAATTTAGCTGTATAATATTATTTAAACAAGAGATGATTGCGTGCATTGTACTCGTTCATGTCCTCGTGAGTCTGGTCGTGAGGTTACAAGTTCCTCACTTGCATGATGTTGCTGTTATAAACATTTTTGGGAGAATAGCGTGTATTCTCTAGAATAGAGAATAGTGTATATGAAATGTATAGGAAAATGTATAGAAATGTATAGGCTAGAATAGCCTACCAACAGTCTTCGTGGTGTAGTGGTAAGACACTGGCCTGGCGTTCCGCGAGCGCTATGTCATGGGTTCGTATCCTGGCCGGGGAGGATTTACTGGGCGCAATTCCTTAACTGTAGCCTCTGTTTAACGCAACAGTAAAATGTGTACTTGGATGAAAAAACGATTCTTCGCGGCAGGGGATCGTATTCCAGGGACCATAGGATTAAGGACTTGCCCGAAACGCTACGCGTACTAGTGGCTGTACAAGAATGTAACAACTCTTGTATATATCTCAAAAAAAAAAATAAATAAATAAATAAAATAAAAAACACCTGTACAGCTCTGTCTGTATCTGTCTCTCTGTTTTACACACACACACACACTACACACACACACACACACACACACACACACACACACACACACACACACACACACACACACACACACACACACACACACACACACTTGTACGGCTTCAAGTGTAGATATGATAGAGTCCAGTAGGCTCTCAGGAACCTGTACACCAGTTGATTGACAGTTGAGAGGCGGGACCAAAGAATCGAAGCTCAGCCCCGCAAGTACAATTGGGTGAGTACAGGTCAGTGTCTGGACAACACCCCCGGTCAGTACTCCCCCCAGACACCACCACCACCACCACAGGTCAGTGTCTGGACAACACCCCCGGTCAGTACTCCCCCCAGACACCACCACCACCACAGGTCAGTGTCTGGACAACACCCCCGGTCACTACTCCCCCCAGACACCACCACCACCACCACCACAGGTCAGTGTCTGGACAACACCCCCGGTCACTACTCCCCCCAGACACCACCACCACCACCACCACAAGTCAGTGTCTGGACAACACCCCCGGTCAGTACTCCCCCCAGACACCACCACAGGTCAGTGTCTGGACAACATCCCCGGTCACTACTCCCTCCAGACACCACCACCACCACCACCACAGGTCAGTGTCTGGACAACACCCCCGGTCAGTACTCCCCCCAGACACCACCACCACCACCACCACAGGTCAGTGTCTGGACAACACCCCCGGTCACTACTCCCCCCAGACACCACCACCACCACCACCACCACAGGTCAGTGTCTGGACAACACCCCTGGTCAGTACTCCCCCCAGACACCACCACCACCACCACCACAGGTCAGTGTCTGGACAACACCCCCGGTCAGTACTCCCCCCAGACACCACCACCACCACCACCACCACAGGTCAGTGTCTGGACAACACCCCTGGTCAGTACTCCCCCCAGACACCACCACAGGTCAGTGTCTGGACAACACCCCCGGTCAGTACTCCCCCCAGACACCACCACCACCACCACCACCACAGGTCAGTGTCTGGACAACACCCCCGGTCAGTACTCCCCCCAGACACCACCACCACCACCACAGGTCAGTGTCTGGACAACACCCCCGGTCAGTACTCCCCCCAGACACCACCACCACCACAGGTCAGTGTCTGGACAACACCCCCGGTCAGTACTCCCCCCAGACACCACCTGACAGAACCCCTCGGAGCAACACCCGCCACAAACATCTGCCCGCCACTGGACGGTGTGGCAACAATCAACTTAGCGCCGAGTCTGTTCTCTCCCAAACGTTACCTGAGGCTCAGCGTCAATACTCCACCGCCTCTCCACTCTCCCACTAACCAAAATAAATATATCTTGGAAGCTAAACAGTGTGTGTGTGTGTATCACTTGAGCCTTCATGCCGCAGGTCTTGGATAAACGAACGGAATTAAACAAGTCTGTTTTGCTTTTAGGCTTCATTCACTAAGATCCTCAGGCTTTGTATAGAGTGAATTTATAAAAAGACAAAGGAACAATTAGAAATTGAATGCGCTTGAAGTTACGTGACAGTATTCAACTCCTTACTTTAATGCACTTATACCAAAGTGCATTAAAGAAAGAAGAGTTCTCTTCGTAGGGAAGAGTATTATCTACTGAAAACGAATACAGGTAGCTTCCTACGTTTAAAAAAAATAAACTACGTTCGTATATGGCAAGAGACAAACGAGCATCGCCATCAGCTATCTAAAACACACACACATAAAACACACATTAACTAAATACCTCTACGTTATAGGAGCAGTGTGTTTGGAGTGGTTATGATACGGGATAGCCTAAGAATCTATCCCGGTAGAAAGCCTAGGGTATGGGTGTGTAAGTTTATTTAACTTCATGGTATGACTGGTATATATATATATTTATTTGTTCTAACTCTAATTGTCTTATCCTAATTGTGTGATATAAATGATGCAAATTAGTTGTCACGAATAAAGTTTCTGATAATGACAATGTCTCGGTGCTATAATGTTATCGTGACCCGTGTAATTAATGGACTGTGTTTGTTATTTAAACTTTCCCCAATTGTAAATGTACAACCATTCACGAATGACGCTTTTGAGTTGATTTGATTGGGCATAGTTATGTGTATGTTTACACACGAGTGATGGTAGGAGACATAATGGTGCGGCGGGCTTTAGGCGCATGAGAAGGGGGAGAGGGGACAAATTAGGGAGTGGGGTAGGGGTCTGGGAAGAGTAGGAGGAGGAGGGGAAGAGGCAGATTCTTGCGTGCTGGCTGGGGCCATGTTCCTGTCAGTGAGCATGTCTGCTACCCTCGTCACCCCTCGCATTCATACACACACACACACACAAACCCCCACCCACACACTACCTACACACAGGTAGGTTCAAATATCGACACACACCACATCACAGCTCTTCCTTCTGTATCAGACCATTGTGAGCCAGTGTGCTCCTCCCCAAAATCAACATTCAACTTGCCACGTTGACCACTTGGGATTGACCTCCGGGTCAATCACGTTTTAGGTCTCCGGAGAACATACTATGTTCAATGTGTGGCAGGGGGCCACACATCTTTTGACTGTTTGGAAATAGAATAGCAAAATTATGCTCCAGGCATGCTCCAAGTAACTCCTCCAGACATGCTTCAGGACCGTTAGTCCCAAGACGATTCATTGAGTCTAGAGACTCACTTTAGCCATTACCTCCAAGTGAGCAAGGATCAGATTATCATCC